AAGTTTTATGAGGAAGTGGTGAAAGTATTGTTTGGCATCCTTAAGTATTGATAGCAAATCATATTGGACCTCTTTTTTTTTTTTTTTTTTGGTACTGGGGATTGAACTCAGGGGCACTCGGCCACAGAGCCACATTACCAGTCTTATTTTATTTAGAGACAGGGTCTCACTGAGTTCTTAGCACCTCACTTTTGCTGAGGCTGGCTTTTTTTTTTTCATTCATTTTCAGGATGTTTGTAAGAGTCTTTTTATTTTTATTTTTTTTTCCTTTTTTTTTATTGGTTGTTCAAAACATTACAAAGCTCTTGTCATATCATATTTCATACATTTGATTCAAGTGGGTTATGAACTCCCATTTTTACCCCGTATACAGATTGCAGAATCACATAGGTTACACATCCACGTTTTTACATATTGCCATACTTGTGACTGTTGTATTCTGCTATCTTTCCTATCCTCTACTATCCCCCCTCCCCTCCCCTCCCATCTTCTCTCTCTACCCCATCTACTGTAATTCATTTCTCTCCCTTGATTTTTTCCCCTTTCCCCTCACATCCTCTTATATGTAATTTTGTATAACAATGAGGGTCTCCTTCCATTTCCATGCAATTTCCCTTCTCTCTCCCTTTCCCTCCCACCTCACGTCCCTGTTTAATGTTAATCTTTTTCTCATGCGCTTCCTCCCTGCTCTGTTTTTAGTTGCTCTCCTTATATCAAAGAAGACATTTGGCATTTGTTTTTTAGGGATTGGCTAGCTTCACTTAGCATAATCTGCTCTAATGCCATCCATTTCCATGCAAATTCCATGATTTTGTCAGTTTTTAGTGCTGAGTAATACTCCATTGTGTATAAATGCCACATTTTTTTTTATCCATTCATCTATTGAAGGGCATCTAGGTTGGTTCCACAGTCTAGCTATTGTGAATTGTGATGCTATGAACATCCATGTAGCAGTATCCCTATAGTACGCTCTTTTAAGGACTTCAGGGAATAGTCCAAGAAGGGCAATAGCTGGGTCAAATGGTGGTTCCATTCCCAGCTTTCCCAGGAATCTCCATACTGCTTTCCAAATTGGCTGCACCAATTTGCAGTCCCACCAGCAATGTACAAGTGTACCCTTTTCCCCACATCCTCGCCAGCATTTGTTGTTGTTTGACTTCATAATAGCTGCCAATCTTACTGGAGTGAGATGGTATCTTAGGGTGGTTTTGATTTGCATTTCTCTGACTGCTAGAGATGGTGAGCATTTTTGCATGTACTTGTTGATTGATTGTATATCCTCCTCTGAGAAGGATCTGTTCAGGTCCTTGGCCCATTTGTTGATTGGGTTATTTGTTTTCTTATTGCTTAATTTTTTGAGTTCTTTGTATACTCTGGATATTAGGGCTCTATCTGAAGTGTGAGGAGTAAAGATTTGTTCCCAGGATGTAGGCTCCCTATTTACCTCTCTTATTGTTTCTCTTGCTGAGAAAAAACTTTTTAGTTTGAGTAAGTCCCATTTGTTGATTCTTGTTTTTAACTCTTGTGCTATGAGTGTCCTATTAAGGAATTTGGAGCCCGACCCCACAATATGTAGATCGGAGCCAACTTTTTCTTCTATCAGACGCAGAGTCTCTGATTTGATATCAAGCTCCTTGATCCATTTTGAGTTAAATTTTGTGCATGGTGAGAGAAAGGGATTCAGTTTCATTTTGTTGCATATGGATTTCCAGTTTTCCCAGCACCATTTGTTGAAGATGCTATCCTTCCTCCATTGCATGCTTTTAGCCCCTTTATCGAATATAAGATAGTTGTAATTTTGTGGATTGGTTTCTGTGTCCTCTATTCTGTACCATTGGTCCACCTGCCTGTTTTGGTACCAGTACCATGCTGTTTTTGTTACTATTGCTCTGTAGTACAGTTTGAAATCTAGTATCGCTATACCTCCTGATTCACACTTCCTGCTTAGAATTGCTTTTGCTATTCTGGGTCTTTTATTTTTCCATATGAATTTCATGATTGCTTTATCTATTTCTACAAGAAATGCCATTGGGATTTTGATTGGCATTGCATTGAACCTATAGAGAACTTTTGGTAATATCGCCATTTTGATGATGTTAGTTCTGTGAGGCTGGCTTTGAACTCATGATTCTCCTGCCTCAGACTCCCCTGGTGCTGGGATTATAGTGTGCATCACCAAGACCAGCTGGACCTCATTTTTAATGGACATAATATATCAATAAGTGATTATAGAATATAAACTCAACAGAAATCTTTTTTTAGTACATTGATGTGTTCTGAGTGCATAGAACAGATTTAGTAGCACATAATTAATACTGTAAAGATTTGTATGTATTTTTGTGCTGTCAGCAGAAAGAACACTCTACAAATGAAAACCAAGAAGTCTGAGAATGTGTGCCCTCTTTGACCTTGCCAATTCCAGACCAGAGAATTTTCCTTAACAGAAGGAAGAAAGAAGTCAGGCATGGCGGATCACACTTGTAATCCCAGAGACTTCAGGAGGCTGGGACAGGAGGATCACAAGTTTAAGACCAGCCTCAGAAATTAATGAGACTGTTTTAGTCAGCTTTTTCGCCGCTGTGACTGAAGGATCCACCAGCACAATTATAGAGGAGGAAGAGTTTATTTGAGGGCTTGTGGTTTCAGAGGTCTTAGTCCATAGAAGGCAGGCTCCATTCCTCAGGGCTCTAGGTGTGACTGAACATCATGGTGGGAGAGGGTGGCAGAGGGAAGCAGCTCACATCATGGTGATCAGGAAGCAGAGATGCAAATATATACACCAAAGCCACGCCCCAATTTCCACCTCCTCCAGCCACACCCTAGCACTTTAGTTAATCCCACCAGGGATCAACTCACTAACTAGGCTAAGACTATAACCCAATCATTTCTCCTCCAGCCTTCTTGCATGTCTCACATGTGAGCTTTTGGGGGATACCACATCTAAACCATAGCAGAGACCCTGGCTTAAAATCAAAAATAAAAAGAGCTGGGGATGTAGCTCAGCGGTAGAGCACTCCTGGGTTTAATCTACTACAAAAAAGCAGATGGGTGGAAGGGATGAAAGAACAAAGAAAAGAAAAAATAGTGAAGAAAAGAAGGCACAAAAAACTAAACTTTAGAAGTTCACCAGACTTAAGTCAAGGATCCTACTTCAGTATGATGAAATATTTCTTGTCATCAAAATGGCAAATTTATAGAAGATGCTATAATTTCATAGTACACAGATTTACATTTTCACCAGAAAATACACTAAGTAGAGTGGGATATGAATTTTCATCTGTAGTTCCAGGGAATAAGACATATGCTACTATTTTTTGTAAACCAGTGGTTCTCAGAGCATGGTCCCTGGACTGACAGCATCATCACCACCAGGAAACTCATTAGAAATGTAAATTCTGGGGTTCTTTCCAAGAAGAATCTGGGGCTGAGGCCCTACAGTTTGCATTTTAACAAGCTTCCCGGAATTTTTTTTTTTTTTTCAGGGACGGGGTTGGTGGATGGGTCTCGCTATCTGCAGAGGATGGCCTTGAACTCTTGGGCTCCTGCCTCAACCTCCTGAGTACTGGGACTATGGGTGTGCACCAGCGCCTCCCCCCAGCTACAACGCCAGGTGGTTACGATGCACTCTTAAGTTTGGGAACTACTCTCTAAAACAGCTTTTCTCAACCAGAGGCAATTTTGCCTCCAGGGACATTGTCATTATGTGGAGATAGATGTTCTCAGTGACCAAAAGGGAGATGGAGGATGCTATTGGCATCTCTTGGGTAGAGGTCAGGAATCCAGCTAGCATCCTACAATCAACAAATACTAATTAGATAGTCCAAAATGTCCATTGCGCAAATGCAGAAAAACCCTGCTCTAAACTGGGTCTCCTCTTGACTGCCCAGAAAATTAAATCTTAGCCATTATTTTGGAGATGGGTAGATGGGGTAGGGCTTCATCATCTCCAATGTCAAAGACTAATTTTGGGTTTAGGTATATCTGAGGGAATAAGTTCTTAATCCAGGAGATCACCCTCATTCCAGAACTCTCTTTGCTGCCTAGTGCGGGGTGGGTTGTTGTGGGGAGGGGCAGTGCTATTTCTCTTGAGGGGTGAGAAAGGAGACTCTCAGCAAACCTGTCCCAACCAAGAAGAATATATCTCTCCTGTTGTTGCCACCCACAGGAACTCTCCCACGAGACAATTACCTGAACATCATAGAGTTCCACCATCCTGTAGTAATGGGCCAAGGTCAAGAGAGATAGCAGGGATCCCTCCACTCCTATCTCTTCTTAGTAAATGTCCACCTCCCTGGGTCTTGATCCGCCTTCCCATTTTCTACTTTCCCTCCCCATCATGAACCACTTTGCATAAACTTGTATAATCAAGGGTAAAAATCACTTTATTACTCGATAGTTTCAGTGGGTTTGGGAAGCCACATTGGATCATTTTTCCTGGGGTGGGAGCTGGGAGAAGACAAGTTAAAGGAGTTAGTCTTTTTTCTTAACAATTCTTCTTGCTATGTCATGTACATTGTGTTTAGCCTAACAGCCCATATAATTTGTGTGGCATATATTTAATGTACCTATAAAGCAGCAAACAGAGGAAAAGCTACTCTCTAAAGATCTAATGAAGAAAGCCCACTTGCTGATCACTGAAGGAAAAGCCATAAACAGAAAGAGAAATAAGCCATAGCGGCCAGAAAACATTATCAAGGATCTTCCGACCCACTCGTTACGAGTTCCAGAAAAAGTAATTTGGAACATTATGTAGCTGATGAAGGATGCAGTGTTAAATCACAGGGGTTCAATACAGCAGCAACATTTTCTGCTTCTATCTGGGGAACCTAAGGGAAGTCCATGAGTGATTTGAGCCCAGGGACAGGAAAGTCCTGTTGACCATTCACACTCCTTCTGCGGAGCCCGAACAGGAGCCCTGACTGCTGATTCAGTGTATTATTTCTTTCTTCCTGCCATTCACTCCAGACCCACCCAACACCAAGTTGTGTTCAGCGCCAGCTTCACATGGGCGAACAGAGCCACTGGTTCCAGGCACAAGACATGGGGATATGTTGCAGAGTGTAGCTCATTTTTTGCATAGCTGTGTTGGTCCTGACTGTGTGAGAATAAACAGGAAACCCACGTTTGGCCATTTCCTGGGCCTGCATATAGACAGCATAGGAGACGAGGCCCTGGGTACGGTACTCAGGCAGGGTACCTCCCATTCGCGTTTCTCCGGTGTAGTCCATTAATGTCCAGGACACTGGGTTCCCCTCAGGCCCCAGCAAACAGGAGCTCGGGAAGTTCTGGATACAGCGCTCAATGAATTTCTGGCTTCTCTCATTGCCACCAAAATGCCAGAATTTATTCACCAAGGCAGCGTGGGGAATACCCAGGGATGAGATTTTAAACTTCTCTTGGTTGCTATGGAGAGAAAGAAAAGCCCATGAGGATAAAGGTGTGTATTTGTTCTTACCTCAACAAGCTGGAGATACAGAGAAGAGGACCCAGCGAGTGCAAGTCCTAGAGTATGGAGAGCTTGTGGTGCCCGGGGACAGAGAGGAGGCCAGCGTGGCCGGAGGAAGCGAGCAAGAACAAGTTCAGCAGCAGACCCAGGACTCACTCACTCTAGGTGGGGAGGAAGGTAGTCTGAGTTACTCTTTTTTAAAAGACGATGCTTACCACTTCATGGAACACTGATTGTTCCGAGGAAAGAGAGCAAGCAGGGCAAGAAGGCAGGACCCTGCTTAGAGGCAGAGGAAGGAGCAGGGAGAGTTGGCATTTTATCAGACTCACATGGCCTTGGGCTTGCCATCACCAGGTGATAAAGTCTTTGTATCCAGCAGGGAAGGGATTAGTTTCCTGATGGTTTCAGCTGCGATGAAGAGAATGTTCTCTGAGCGTTCGATTTTCAAAGATTTCGTCGCTGCAAGATTTTGTACTGCCTTATTCAGGCTCGACTGGCAACCTAGATGGGTGTATGAGGAGAAGTAATGATGAGAATCCCTTCGAGAGAAGCTCTTCACGGGAGTAGGAAATGTCACATTTAGGGTCAGAAAACCATGGTCCTGGGCTTGGTGTTGCCACCATGTGAATGGTCATCTAGTTTCAGGATTTTTGAAAACTTCCTGTTTTATATAGATAAATATGGACTTATTTTTATTGCTAGTGGTGATATCAAGATGGGAACAAAGTTTTCTGGGCTATATAATCATGTAGTTTTGATAATCAAAGAGAAGAGTTATTTAAAAAAAAAACAATAGCCAACATCTACTGAGCCATGTTCCCAATGTGATGGATTATTTCAGTAATAACACCACTTGAGCTCATCTCCTGGTATCAGTTCCCTGGAAGTGTTCACTCCTGCACTGTGTCTGACATTTAATAAGTGACTTGCATCTACTAATGAAAAGAGCAAATTGAATGCAGAGAAGGCTTAAAGCACATGCCCTTGGGGCTTTCCCTCTCTTTTTATCTTGTTTATCTGGAGACCCATATTATAAAAGTAGCCTAGGCTGGCTTATAGGAGACACGTGCTTCTATCATGAGGTCACTAAAGCCCAAAACCAGCACGGCAGGCAGCCAGAATCACCATTCAGACACGCAAAAGAGGCCATGCTAAAGCCACCATACCTCCCATCAACCCAGGGTGTGTGATATACCTAGAAGAGACCAGCAGAGGAACTGCCTGGCAAAGCCCAGCTCAGATGGTTGATTCACTTACTTAGGAGCTTACTTATGCAGCAAAAATTAACTGACACATCTTGGTATTGTACTAAGCTCTTCTTATTCACAATCTCGTTTTTTGTTTGTTTGTTTATTTTTTTTTAGTGCTCTGTGCTGTACATACCATTATTCCTCTCATTTTTATATGTGAAGAATATAATCTTATGGAGGAGAAGTCACTTTGCTAGAGTCACAGAAACTATTAGGCAGATACCATCCTAGACAGCCTGATTCCAGAGGGCATACTGGGAGATTCTCTACGGCACAATGAATTGCTATTCTGACTTCAGGATTGGGAGGTGAAACTCTGCTCTGACACCCGGTAAGCCCAGTAAGCCTAAGGGTTATCTGTGAAAGATGCCATAAATTCTTGATAACAGGAATTACATTATGGTTGTCCAAATGAAACACATTCTTTCCCATATTTGAGGATTTTTTGCACCTTTACAGGTATAGAGTCAAAAAACTGATGGCAAGTGAGGATCTGTTCTTTGAAGGAGAGATGTATGAACCACTTGGGGACTTGATCAGGACACAGCGGTGAGACAGCTGATCAGGACTTGATCAGGACACAGTGGTGAGTCCATTCCTCTCACTTACTCTGAATCTGCAAATGCTGCTTCCAATTGATCACTTCTGGAGAACCAAGGAATTCTTGACAGTTCTGGGGATCCTTGGAGTAGACTTGGTAAGTATTGGTGTATTGATCAAGGTCATCTGTCATATCCTATTGTCATTGGGAAAAGGAGAAAGAACACATTCCTTATAATTTGTGATGGCAATGCTAGTTCCGTTGTCTGATATTTTTAAGTAACAAAACATTGCTCTTTTTATTGATGCAATTGGATTATTTCTGAGTCATTTACATCATGAGATCAAGATCAGAGATTCAAATATTCAATTGGTGATGAAAAATTCCAGAACAATATTATTCTCTACCCTTATGTTACATTGATATTTCAAATCAAATATACAACCATTTTAGACAGTATTATTCTATACTCCAATCATTCTGATCAAAAAAGAAAAGGAAGCAATGATGGAAAACTTCTGCTGCAAAAATACAATTCAAATACTTGCAGAACTCACAGACTAAGAACATGACAGTATTAAATTTAATAAAGATAATGGAATTAATATTTCCATCCATATGTAATAAAATCATACTGGAAATGCTTTCTTTGAAAAATGCCATAGTTAAAATTGTATTTTGAGAAAAACAAACAAGCCTCATATTTAGAAAGATCCCTTCAAAGTATTAAATAACAGATAAAATTATTTGGAAAAAGGAGACAGAGGAAAATATTATCACAACGAGGGTAGAGTTAGAAAACTTTTAAAAAATTAGTTGGAAATGCTACAAAAAATTCACTCATGAGTCAGCTATGACATTACTGACAAATTTTGTTGCTTAAGATTATACGTAGCCGGGCACAGTGGCGCACACCTATAATCCTAGAGGCCCTGGAGGCTGAGACAGGAGAATTGCTTGTTCAAAGCCAGCCTCAGTAACTCAGTGAGACCCTAAGCAACTCAACAAGACCCTATCTCTAAATAAAATACAAAAAAGGGCTGAGGGGGCTGGGATGTGGCTCAAGCCGTAGCGCGCTCGCCTGGCATGCGTGCGGCCCGGGTTCGATCCTCAGCACCACATACAAACAAAGATGTTGTGTCCGCCGAAAACTAAAAAATAAATATTAAAAAATTCTCTCTCTCTCTCTCTCAAAAAGAAAATAAAGAAATTATTTTTTTTAAAAAAAGGGCTGAGGATGTGGTTCAGTGGTAAAGTGCAATTCCCCAGGACCTAAATAAATAAATAAATAAATAAAATCTAAGACGATGAATTCCATTTTCAATAGGAAAAAAAGAACTGTACAAATAAGCTTCAAACTATTCTTTTGTATGTGCCAGTCAATGTAGTTTTTAATAAAACTTGGACCTAAATACTAGTAACTTCAGAAAAGAATTTGGGTGGAGAGGAGAAGGTATTTCATTTAGGAAAAATAACCACTCTCTTTTTTCTAATATTCAACACACACAATTTAAACATACAGAGCTTCTGTAACACTTTAAAAAAAAATCCTGTGTACTGAAGCAATAACAAGATCCAACTACAGTTACATTTTTAAATACTGGGTCAAGACTTTACATGAAAACACCACTGTACTTTCCCCTCCTAAGTTCCTAAAATATCACATACTTTCCTCAACATCTGTAGCCATCCAGGAATTTTTAGGAAATTTCATGCATGATCTTAAATCCTAATCCCTGATTCTTTGGGCTCAGTGACAAAAGATCAGAACCACCCAAAATGATGGCTCAGTGGAAGTCGGAGGAGAGACCCTGGCTCAGTCAGCCTCCTAGGTTGAAAGTAGCACTGTGTCAACTGGCTTCATGCAGGACAGGCACAGGGTGGATCTCACCAATCAGTCAACTACACAGTCCAGGTAATGTGCATGCACAGCAGAAGCCTAACTGGTCTCTATAAGCAAGGTCCGTCGTACAGATCACACACTCCAGGATCTTTTGATCTCTCTCTTCCAGGGTCATAAACTCCTTTAGGTAGGTGCTGTACAAGGCCTATTTTTTTAACTTTCCTAATTTGTTTCTCTTTTAGTCAGCTCAGTTGCTATCCGAGTCTGGCTAGGTATCGGATGATAAACTGCAACTGGAACTTGTTCCTGACGAGGTGGCAGTGGCTCCTGATCTGCCTCCGTCCCCTCACCAAGGCTATTGGGTAGGACTGAAACTCATGAAGCCGGGAGACAGCATCCGAGGTAGGGGATTGGAGGCACGTTCCCCATCTTCCTAAACTGGGGTGTGTGATCTCTTACCTGTGTGCTGTTCTGACAGTCTTCTCTGTATTTTCATATTCTTTTTGTTTTTATTTTATACTCTTTTAATACTTTTCATTGTTTTTTTAAATTATAGGTAAAATTATATGTACTTATGTACAACATGTTTCCAAGTACAATCACACATCACTTAGCGATAGGGATCTGTTGTGAAAAATGCATTGTCAAGAGGGTTTGTTGTGCAAACCTTGTAGATTATGTTTACACAGATGAAAATGGCTAAAAAATTTTATGCGTCCACTGTCAGATACAAAGTCTGTCACTGACTAGAAAGTCATTATGCAAAGCATGACTGTGTATATACAAGTGGCGTGATTAAATCCAGCTAATTTACATATGCATTATCTCACATAGTTATCAATCCTGTGGTGAGAAACTTTAGGTCCAGTCAAGCGTATTGTTTTTGAGAATAAAAAACAATGATTAACTGTAGTCACCATGTTGTCCAACAGCTCTATTAAATTTATCCCTCCTATCCAACTGTAATTTTGTATCATTTGGGCCAACATTACCCTACCCCAACCCCCCAATAATCACCTCAATGCCTGGCAACAGCCATTCTGCTCTCTGCTCCCTGTAAGATCAACTTTTTCAGATTCCATATAAAAGTGAGATCGTACGCTATTTGTCTGTTTGTACCTGGTTTAGTTTACTTAACTTATATTTATGTTCATCCACGTTGTTGTGAGCGATAGGATTCTTTCATGGCTGAACAGTATTACGTGGTGCCTATAAACCACACTTTTCACCCATTCGTCTGTTCATGACACTGCCAGGTTAATCTCAGTGACCCTGGGTGTTGGACAGCCCCTCGCAACAGCAGGTTACAGCAGACCCTGGGTTTCTGGAGCTCTGCAGTGGCACATTAGCCCGGTGGCCCTAGTTTTGTGCTTCAGCACTGTGACTACTGTAGCAATCCTGGGCTCGTGATCACACCAGAAAACCTGCCCAGAACCTCTGAAAGGACTGACTATTGAAGGGCTTTTCAAAGTCTGTCCACAAAGACTGGAATAAGTCCCTCCTTTTTTAAAAAAACACAAAAATCAAGGATCAAGACCAATCAGGGAAACATGACATCAAAGACCAAATAAAGTGCCGGATATTGGACCTAAAGAAATGGAGAGTATGAACTACTTACGGATTCAAAATAGCTGTTTTAAGGAAACTCAGCAAAAAAACAACCAAACAAAAAAAATCCAGAGAAACAATTCAACAAGTGATCAGAACAAGAAATGTAATAGTAAAATTGATATAATTTAAAAAAAAATGACACAGAAATCCTGGAGCTGAAATATTCAATGAATGAAATGAAAAAATTCAATAGAGAGCACCCATAGCAGAATTGACCAATCAGGAGAAAGAATTTGTTAACTCAAAGATAAGTTATTTGAAAACATATCATCAGAAAACGATCTGAAAATGAAATCAATAAAACAATTCAATTCACAATAGCATCAGAAATATTCAGGAACAAAGCATATCTAGAAAGCTGTAACATCGATAAAATAAATTGATGCAGACCCAAATAAATGGAAAGATATCTCACGTTTATGGAACAGGATTAATACTGTTAAAATGTCCATACCACCCATTGTGATTTACTGATCTGATGCAATTTCTACCAGAATAGTCACAATATGGAGATCAGCCTGGAAGTGGTGTGGAATGGAGATCAAATCCACTAACTCAGGCCTGAAGCCTAGTGTTGGGAGATGTCACCTGGTCCAGGATAAGTCTGAAGGCTCAGTCCTGTAGGTATTCCTGGAGTTTGGAATGTTGAGGTCTATGTGGTTATGATTTTTTTTAAATTTTTTGATGATGGGTCCCACATTGGGGTCCAAGGCAAAGTCCTGTCTTTACCTCCTCTCTTTCCCCTGAGCAGAGAGTAGCTCTCTACACTATACTCCATGAAGCTGGGGGCATGGAATGTTCTTCCCACACTCTTCAATGTGGTCTTTTGTTATTATTGTGCTACAGCCAGGTAGTGTGATTTCTCACCTGGTTTGCTTAGCTGTGGTAAAGGTACTTTTGTGCAAGGATAGTCATTCAAATGGGTGTTTCTAGAGGGGGATGGTTGCTGGAGACACTTGTTCCACCATCTTGCTTCACCTAATCCCCTATTTTTTGGAAATTTTAAAATAAGCATATGGATTTTTATCTTTGAATTATAGTAACTATTTAGTTTTGTTAATTTTAGGTCTTTCCCTTAGCTGCATATGGAAACTATAACATTGAAATTTAGTGCTTTAGAGTTAACCTGACACATTGTGCTCTATCATATTTTCATAGTCCCATCCTTTTGATTATCTCTGATGAGAACATGTTCTTTCCATTCTTGGCCTGACAAAAATATACTTACCTACAAAATAAAGTTTAGATGAAACCTCCAACCAAATGTGTCTCTATCATTACACTGAAGGCTCCTCCTGGAGCCTCCATAGTAGAAGTTAATCAACTTTTGCTTGAGCTATTTCTGTTTCATCGTATCTCATACTAAGTTGCAATCTTCCTGTTAATCAGTCTTTTCCTCCAGGATGTAACATTATTGAGAATGGGGACTTGTTTGACATCACCGTGATGGACTTCTCTATCTCTAGGTTTTACACACTGCCAGATACATGGAAGGCACACAGAAAATATGACCATCTGGCACCTTACCTGTTCCTGAGGGCGGATAACCACCGTATTGAAATCAGGCCATTTGTCTACTAAAGCCTTTAGGTTGAATGGGTTTCCATGGTTCATGTGAAATACAGTCCCATAAACCTGCAGGATTCCATGGAAGAGAGGTCAGATATCAGAAGGGAAAGGCAGAGTGTCCTGTTTGATCAGGACAAAGGTCACTACTATACATTGTGACATTATGGAAGTCAAATGAGAATCTAGGTCAAACAATCTCCATCTTCTACTTTTTTTAACTTCAATTAAATATTAATTTAATTTCTTTCTTTCCATTAAATATTAATCATAGGTCATGTAGCAAAAATATTTGCACAAATAAAATGAATGACTTTAGGAAAACCATCCTTTACTATAGGATTTAGTATCGTGTTTTTCCAAACTTTCTTCTATTTATACACAGAGGCATACAATTATAAAAATGAAATTACTGATACTTGTTGTTTGGCCCACTGAACATATTATAGACATATTTTTAACCTGTTTTCAATTTTTTGCTTTCACACCTAATTCTTCCTGGAACATGCTTGCCCAGGAATTTTTGCCTGGGTACCTGACATTTTCCTAGACTCTCCAAAAGGGTAATTTCTGCTTCAAAAGTCACGTACATGTTTAAAGTTCTTTAACAAATCTTCCCATTTTGCCCTCTGGAGGGTTAAATCAACTCCCACCAACCAACAGTACCAATACCTCGTGCTCAAGAGAATGGGCTTTGGGTTCTCATAATCCCGTCTTGGATCCTCACCCCTGCCATGTTGTACAGGTTATAGGGAAAGAGGATGAAAGAGAGAGACCAGGATGAATGAGAGCAAAACCCAGTTGAGAAAATGTCTATCTATCTATATATGTATAGTACCTGGCATACAAATATTATTGATTTCCATTCAGGGAGAATGTATTTATTTAATACACAACCAAAGTGCAATGCTATTCCTTCATAAGAAGTAAGGAGCCAAGACAGCCCCCTCATCTCACCACTGCTCCAAAAAAAGACCACTGGGAAACGCCACGCATTTCCACAAAATGTTGAGTCCTACTACCGCAAGAAATAGAGAAATTTAAATTACAAAATTCTATCCTAAAGCATTAAATAAAATTTTGTATCCTGGAATATTTTTAAAAATAGTCACTCATGAAAATATCTCAGGCTGGTGTCCATAGACTGTCTAACTGATGGAGTCTCTACAAAAATAATCCTGCTGGTCAGGCAAAGGCAGTTGAATATTAGGTAATATTGACTCTTATTAGCAGAGGCTGCCAAAAAAAAGGGGACCTTTCGTTTTGAGGGGTTCTTTTTAACATTATTTTTAGATGAGTTGATTTGAAATAATTCTGGCGGTAATTAAAAAACAGGACCAGTTGTTTCATTAATTGATTTCTAATAAATGCATATATAATCTTCAAATAAAAATGCTAATATTTCTCTCTTTTCGTCAGAGGGGAATAACAAACCTGTTGGAAAATGAGGAAATTTGATGTCCATCTAAAAATGTATGTATTTTATAGGAGTGCCTTATAAAGCAATACAAATCTAGAATTAATTTTCCTCTAAGTAGACACACACACACTTACACACACACACACACACAAAGTTATACTTAGGCTCTGCTAGAGTAGCTCATTCCCCTTTCATTGCTAATGAAAAACACGGGCAAGAATCTAGATCTTGTAAGTTGCTCTTACATAGTTCTGGAAGTGAACATTTATAAGTATGTGTTTTTATTTAATTCAAGATTTCTGATCAATTTTTACTAGGCTAAGGGAGATACTGGGAGCCAGGCCCAAATGGCTGAATAATACACATTCAGTTCAGAGCAATTAAGAAATCCAAGTCAAAAGAGAAATCAGCCTGTTACTGATTTCCAAGAGACTCTGACGGTTAACCTCTCACCTGGCAAGTGTTCTCTTAAAGTGAACAAGTTAAACATTAACATGCAATCTCACCTAAACTTTTGAGGAAAACTCGGGGCAAATCTCAAATGTTGTTAAGGAATGTTCCTTGAAAAGGATCCAGGGGAGAAATTTTTCAGCTGGCTCAGAATGAAAGGCAGTGTTTGGGCTCAGGAATACCTGTGTTCATGCCATAGCTTTGTGACGCACTATTGGTGGCATATGGGGAAAATCATTGAGCCTCATTTTATTACCCATAACATGAACATAATAGCAAATGTCTTGTAAAGAGGTAATAAAACTTAAGGGAGAGGAAATACAAAGCAGTGCCTGGCTCCAAATGGGTGCAGCGTGAATGTGGGTCTCCTTTCCTCCCTTTCACATCACGCTTCTCTTCCTTCCTCCCCACAGCAGTACCACTGTCACCTTTATGGATTCAGGAAGGCTCTTCCTCAGGGATTTCTCCAGGGTCTGCAGCATCTGGGCACCTTGCAGCGGGAACATCGTGGAGGACACCTTAGCCTAGAGAGAGAACCAAGGAGCAACCAGGAATGAGAGGAGCTAGAGGAGATCCAGAAACGAGCGTAGCAAGGTCAGTGTTAATGGCCAAGACTTTCTCCATCATCTCCTCCCTGAAGTCCTCACCAACTCCAAAGGGGAGATAAGACTGGCAGGAAGCTGAGGATCCCTTTCTGAATTTTTCATTTACTTTTCTTACCCTTTGATTAATTCTACTCACCAGTTTCACTTTAAAGTAATAAGCACATTTAAAAAAATACATACCACATCTTTTAAATTTTAGTTTCTATTAGTGATTCTCTTGGCCCTTCTAGTAACAAGCTGTGTAACCTTGGGAAAGTTACTCAACCTCTCTATTCCTTGGTTTCTTCAAAAGTAGTGGGGATAATAGCACTATCTCACTCAGATAATTTTTGTGAGGATTAAATGAGTGAATACACATGAAGTATTTAGTAAAAGTTTTGGTAGAGTAGAAATTACTAGGTAAAAAAAACCCAGCATTTTTACAAATCTGACTTACTCCATTTAATTAGAGTAACCTGAACATCACATTCTAACTAAAAAAAAAAAATGGAAAAAGTATGTGTCATTGTGTTCTATATTGGAACGGTGATATTTGGAGCTCAGGAAAGTAAGTGCTAAACTCCTCCAGCGGCTGGGACAGTTGAAGCTAGAGAATCACAAGTTCAAAAGCAGCCTCAGCAACTTAGTGAGGCCCCCAAACAACTTAGTGAGACCCTGCCTCAAAATAAAAAATAAAATGTGCTGGGGATGTGGCTCAGTGGTTAAGCATCCCTGTGTTCAATCCTTGGTGTGTATACACTCACACACACACACACACACACACACACACCTGGCCAAGTGTGAGTTTCAAAAAACAGGGAGGGTCTTTTGCTTCTGGCCAAGATAGTATCATGGACCTGGCTATTTTCACACCTGAAACAACGACAACATCGTCTCAGAGCTATTTCTTGATGACTGACTCCAATAATTGTGTATCAGAACAAAATTTAACACAAACTCTATCAACTAATAAGTATCTGATGAAAAAAATATTGAACACGTGAAGAAACTGGTTTAGAGGAATGATCTGGGGGAACAGAAAGCAGTAGGGGGGCAAAGAAGCAGAGTCAGCAATAACTTTCCTCCACAATCAGGAGAAATAAAACCTTCAGCGAAAACCTGTCTAGAGGAGATGCTTGGGACCCGGGGTCTCAAACTTTCCCCTATTGCAAAAGTCACCTGCCTCCATCCCCTTGTGATAGTCATTGCAAATGACTTTCTTACCTGAAAAAATTAAAATTAAAATAAACATTACCAGACCTAGAGCTCTTAGAACTAACAGATAAGGACATTAAGTACCTTTAATAACTTAGCTCCTTGTGTTTAAGAAGAGAAAGAAATGCATAAGAATGGTGAGAAGCTAAATGAGATCTTATGGAAATAAAAAAAACACTACATTTAAAATAAAAATTAGGCAGGATGTGATCAACAGTGGATTAGACCATAAAGAAGAAAAGATTGATAAGTTAAAGGCACAGCCATTGAAACTCTCCAAAAGAATACACAGGGTGGGAAAATGTGTACTGTTAAGATGTTGAGGAAATTCAACAGAGATAGAATAATAGTCTCTTCAACAAATGATGCTGATTTTTATTTTTAAACAGTCGAGATAACTTACCTGATAGACCTGAGTCCCTTTCTGACTGTCGATGTTAGAGGAAAACTATCATTCACTTTGCTTCTTTGCCTCTCTGCTGCTTTCTGCTCCCCAGATCATTTATCTAAAATAGTCCCTATTTCACTTTGGGTCACTTATGAATTTAAGAAAGCAAAAAAAGAGCAGCCTTTAAAACATAAGATTTTCACAGAAAAGGAGCATCTGTGTGGCCCAAATCGAGTGAGACAAAAATTAATTAATTACTTAAAAGCCAAGGCCACTCCGTGCTCATGCTTGAAACATGAAGTCAGCCTTATCAGCAAAAACAGCCAGACATCCTCCCCGCAGTTACCATATGACCATGACTTCTGTACCCTGTTCCTTTCCTCCTGCTGCAGGAAAAAAAGGGTTAATTAGATTTGCCTTGCTTTCTGACAGGATCCACACCACAGCAAAACCATGTTTCCTTGAATCCTTGCAAAGTCGCCCACCACAAGCCACTCCTGCATGCTTGCTGTGAATGCACCACGTTTCCCCAAAAGTGTGCTCTTTTCCTCATTGTGACAGACAACAAACCCAATTTGTCAAATGACAGGTGTGCTCCAGGTGGTCTTTGATTAGAAGCTTTCAACAAATTTCTTCACCACCGAGCTCTGAGATGTTGGTGGCTACAGGCTTGCTCTCTGTTCACTTCTACTTCCCAGGCCTCAGGGACGTAACCCTCAGAACTATAACCCTCAGGACCACTCATTATGTAGAAAAGTACATGAGTATAAGATGCAAAGTATGATTTGATGTTAACTCTGTGGGATGTTGTGCAACTTTATTTCTTGAACTGTTCAGTTCGGAATCATCCTCCAAAAATGTGGACACAAACTAATAACCGAGCATCATGCTCATTAAATAGGATACACTGAAAACTGCTAAAGCCTGTCACCCTCACCGGAGCCAACAGCCCTGGGTAATGGGTAATGTCAATGTCCTTGTGTGCAAACTTCAGGATCTTTGACCCTGCCATTCCCATATGGAAATTAATCCAAAGAAAACAATTTAGAAGAAAAAAACTGCTCTAAATAGAATTTAGAGCCCATAATAAATAAAATTCCAATGTCCAGAAGAGGGGAAGTTAATGTTAAATATGATTTAGCAGGGCAATGAAATTCTAAGGTATTAAAATAATACACACAGGCATAATATATAATACATATAGGTGTGGGAGAGTGTTAAAGTAAAATTAGAAACTTTAGGATATAAAACATTTCATGTATGACATATATAGTATTAGCACAAATTTGAAAGACAATATAGATTGTGATAGTAACATTACAGGGGGAATATTTAAAGTCTGATTTGTTTGTTGTACAATTAAAATTAACAATCTGTTTATTTCCTTTCTGACTTTAAGCTCAATCTTCTTACCAGTCACAAGGAGAAAACTGCCTACCTTACAATGTAACCATAAGGATTCAATATGGTCATGTTTGCGGTGTCTCCAATCTCTGGATATTCCATTCACCCACTTGCTTCTAGAAAGTCATCCAAATCTCTACTCGCTTATTTATTAGATCAGGGCAGAAACCTCTAAGAATTCTGTCCTTTACAGAACAAATGCCAGATATATGTTTCTCAAGTTGAAGTTACTCCTTTTCCTTGGGCATATGCTCAACATAACTCTGTATTAGCATTTGGATTTGGTTCACTTGAAAGGAAGGAACCCCAAAAAGCAAAGAATATCTTTAAGAAACTCAAAAACATTATCATGTATACTTAAGATACACAAGATCTTATGGGATATATACCGATAGGAAGAAGGCTTACTAAAGCATACCCCATTCATGCCACATAATCACTCACCTGTCTGCATCTGACAAGAACAGCTAAAATCGATTCATTCAGCGTGACTGCCACATGCAGTACCACTTAATTGCTTTTAGCTCTCACATTGTACATCTGTATCCACACTTGTTGATACTACATGACTGCTACTTTTTGAGAGGAGTCCTTACCTGAAAAGATATCTTTACACAGTTCTTCTCAGATGTAGCTAGGATTAGACTTCCGAAAGATGAAATCTCCCTCTGATGCAGTCAGTCCAGTGGGCTCTTGAAGAGTGAGCGAGTTTGGATATGTCTCTTCCAGAAATTGCTGAGATGTAACATGGACCTTGCACTAGGCTGGCAAAGATTTCTGGATGTCAACTCTAGTGGAAAACAACATTTCCCGTCAGGGTTTCTTGTTGAAAAGTCATGCAAGACTGGGGGGGGGGGGTCCCAGGGGAAGAACAGATGGTGAGGAGTCGGCGAAAGAGGGGTTGGAGAAACAACACAGACACCAAAGTGAAGGTGCTGAATCCCACTCTTTACATGTGAAGTTAATCATATATACTTTTCATTTCGGCAGGCTCACAGTACTTTGTGGTTACAAAACAGGAATCATTATTCAAAGAAACAAAGTATTACGTAGCTACAATTAGAATAGAAGAATGTCTCTTGGCTTAGGCATAAGCAAGCATTTTTCCTTTCAGTTCACATTTTGCTTTGAGCTGTTTCTGCTTAGTTAACTTTTAATAATAGTTAGAAATGTCCCAGACTATTGGCCTATACCTTGACTATTCTTTCTTAACTTACTGACTGGAACGGGTGCCACGGTTACAGCAAGTGGTTAACTTGCTATTAATTTTAATCAAACAAGAGTAAGAGCACAAACCATTGTGCACAGGAACAAGAACAAGTTGCCCAGTACTAAGCACTAATCTGTCTTCTTAACATTAATTCTTCTTCTCTATATTTTAATTTAATTTCTCAAAAACTTCCCTGACAGGAATACAGGGAGTTTTTCATTAAACATTAACAATTTACACTCCACAGCTGAATCATTGCATTTAGAGCAAACAGATCTATTCTTTAGAAGTAGTTGCATTAATTGGGAAAGTCATGTTTTTTCCTTCATACTTAATGATCCTATGAGAAGTCACAACTATACTTATTAAAGGAATACAGAAACAAACCAGCTCATTCCCAGAAACATACTGCGTTCTTCCAGAGGATGGACGCCTTGCGCCATCCACCTCAATAGGGCCTTGCCATTGCCTGAGTCAGGGGAGGGGCGCAGCAGGAATGCCCCTGTCCCTCCCTTTCAATTCTCAAATCTCTGCAGCAGGAACAATGTAGTGGGAAAGTATCAGTGAGGTCTGCTTTGCAGGATTCTTCTCTGACCCTTTTTCTTACACATAGACTGAAGAGGAAAGTACTTGTGTGGAGTTAGTAAAGCTGTTAGGGTCCTCCTTCTTTAGGATAAGCTGTACCCTCTCTCTGCCCCTTTTCAA